TCCTCATCTAGGATTCTAATCTAAAACCCCTAGGGTTACTACTCCTAATTCAAAATAATGGAAATTCTAGAAAGTACCTTTTTTTTGAGGAATATGGAGAAACAATTATAATAATATTACCGTTGTAGTTTGAATCCTTAATAAAGAGGTCATGATTGGTATACTTCCATCACAGCTAATGTTACAAGTCCCCCTTATCTTATAATTTAATTATATATTTTAATAATTTTAATATCAAAATATTTTGATTTTTCTCCTCATCTAGGATTCTAATCTAAAACACCCCTAGGGTTACTACTCCTAATTCAAAATAATGGAAATTCTAGAAAGTACCTTTTTTTTTTTTTGGCCATTGCCTATTGTCAAAAAAAAAAAAAACTTTTTAGTTGCTAATAAATGGAATATATATTTAACAGTGGGAAATTGAAGAATTGGGAGAAATAATTATAATAATATTACAATTGTGAACCCTTGATAAAGAAGTCATGATCATTGATGCACTTCCATTACCGCTAATATTGCAAGTGCTCCTTATTTTATAATTTAATTATATATTTAAATAATTTTAATATCAAAATATCTTGGTTTTTTTTCCTTATCTAAGATTCTAATCTAAAACACCCCTAGGATTATGGAAATTCTAAAAAGTACCTTTTTTTAGCCATTGACTATTTTCAAAAAAAAAAAATAGTTGCAAATAAATGGAAAAGCAAATAACGTGGTTAATATCCTCTTAAACCTCTCTAGTACAAGAATCTCTGGGACACTGGAATGGACCATGGCACCAAGTTTCCAACGCGCCACTTCCCCTTTTTGACATCCATGTGTGAATATAACTTAAAGCACGAAGACCACCCCCCCCCCCCCCCCCCAATCCCTTTTGTCTTTTTCTCATTTCTAGATGATATAACTACGGTAGTCCGTAAACTTACCAGATTATTACTATAACATGCCTATAATAACTGAATCTGAATGTATATAACACCTTAAATATTAGATTTAATAGTAAATAAATATTATTTTATAAATTAAATTTAAATTTTAAATTTTAAATTTTAGAATCAATATTCAAACAAATTAACTTTTGT